TTCCACTTAGGTGCATAGCAGCGGGAATTCAAGGTAACAACCTTGAAATGAGTTGTCCATGGTAAAAGCAAATATTAATTAATTCATTAGGTATAGTAGTCGACATTAAAAATCAAACGGCGATCATGTAACGGAACAGTTAAAAAATTAGAAGTCAAAGATAACGTCTAATGCAATTCGTTAATTCCCGCTTATATAAACAAGTTTAATATATTTCTTCTATATTATTTTTCACTTATAAATTATCGAAAAAGTACAATATTCGAAAGTTTTCATTCGAAATGCCATAATAACATGGTGTAAATGATAATTATTTTAGTAATGTGGTAATTATAAATTTGTATAGAACTTAATGACGTGTACTAAATCACTAAGCGAACCAACATGCATATATATTTCTTTAAAGTAATTAATCTTTTTTTATTGTATACTTTAAGTTGCGTCAACCCAATTTGGTCATTGGCAATTACTTTAAATTATGCAGATGGATTGATCATGTACATAATGATATTGTGCTTGCTCTTCCCAATTTCAAATTAATTTGCATCATTTATTCTCTTTTTACACACTTTACATACCTTCTTATTACTTGATATTACGATTATCTGAAGCACTTTGCTCAAGGTATATATTAATTATTATCATTAGATACGCCAAACAAGGAATATTCCCGTTTCTTTCAAAACCGATCTCCAAATACAGTTTTCATTGTTAATTCTTCTCTTTAAAAACTTCTCCGTTCTTCTTTCTCATAACATTTTTAGTAAACAATTTGAAAATAGTTTCCGATAGCGTTTCAAATTGTATCACCGAGCTACTTAACCTTTTGCCTCATTATCGAGAAAGTCTCGTAGCAAAGACTTTATACTGAATTTAATAAATATAAATATTATTTAGTTCGAGTCAATTAATGAAATAGTGTGTTTTCGAAGTTTAACTCCCTCGAGAAGTTATTAAGTTTAAAGTAACTCCTACAAAGATACTCAGGTAAGGGGTGAAGGACTTAAATTCTTGCTAATTTTTCAAAATTATCCAAATCTTTCTAGGATTTGAATGTAATTAATTAACTTCGACTATAAAAAAAGAAAGTTTAAATTTTCCAAATGGTTACATAATAAACACTTCAGTATATAATACCATAAATTGCACAATAAAAGATAGATACTACGGTACGTTGTATTTGAAATGCACATTACCCGAACATTGTATGTTTCCAATGACACCATGCTCACTGAGCTTATCAGGGAAACACGCCTAGATGAACTAGTTGAAGAGACCCTCGGTTAAATGGTATTGTTAACAAGAAACTGGAAATAATTGACCGCGAACAGGAAAAACCTGTGTTATTCGATGCGAAAAAATTCTGAGTCACAGCAACTGCGGAGTAGGCTTTCCTACTTTCACATTTTCCGTTCGGAGTGCAATGTTTCGTTAAACAACGACATTTATAATTACTGAACTGTGACGTGAGCAAACGGGGAATACTTGTTAGTTTCAAACACTGTGCGCTTAGAGATCGCGATTCAGAAATTCGAGGAACGAGACTCATTCGACGTCGCAATACTTTCATGCAAATTACGCCGGGAAAATCCCGAAGAAAAAAGCAAAACAGTTGAAAATAATGGCGCAGTCGATCAAGAAAAACACTAGATTTCCTTCCAGTTAAATTGCTTATCGAATGCATCATGCCGCATTAAGCGTGCTTTATTATCATCGGAAAAAAGAATTATGATTTACATTATTCATCGAAAGGAAGTGAGTGATCGACGACGTTGAGCATCGCACTGCGCTGAATGGGCGATAAATCTTTTCTCGTTCACGAATGTTAGTTAATGTATTTACCTGAGATTTTCAGGGAAATAATGTTTGCAGTAGCATTTGGAATAAGGCATTCAATGATTTAGTAAAAACTAGTTGCTCATTAGGTTGATACTGACAAGCGATTAACGAACCGACTTTGATTTAAATAATTTCCAAGCGATTCTATGAGTCGATGCAAATATTTTACTTTAACATACATGTTATCACCAAGATAGAGATAGTTTATACCAATTCATATTTTATTTAAGCGGTATTTTCGAATAGTCTAATTGTTCCTCTCAACTAAGATATACTTTCTTTTGTAACAGTTTTTATACTTGAGTATCGATCTTATTGATATTAATTATATGACAAATAGTTATTGACATAAATTAATTTTAATAAGAAGGAATTACAAACACTGACGAAAATAGTTAAATAATTGAAAAAATTATGATTTCTATTTTAACCTTTATTTTCAGATAAGTTGAAAAATATAAGAAAAAATTAGGGCGTTTTAGATATTTCTTTTTCTCTTTAACAGGTTATTTAAAAAAATTTTGGAAATTGTTAATAAGTAAACTAATTTTGAATTGCATGGAAATTTTGTCTACTTATTTATATTGTAATAAGGACCAGTATGCCCTCGTTTTACAAAGTAGGTACATAAAATGCTTATATGCAAAAACACGACAGCGTAAATCATTATTAAAGTTGGACAGATTTTTTAATTAAAAGATTCGCATTTTTCTTTAAAACTGACTTTCTAAGAAACCGAATATAATAGAGAAACAAAAGTCTAAATTCGTATTCAACACACAGAAGTCTGCAAGAACTATTCACTGATAAAAGTCAGAATACGTACTGTACAACGTAATTTGAGGATAAAAATGCATACAAATCTAACGAATGAACTAGTCCTTCACGGTTAGCAGATCAATTTACATTCCTGCGGTTATTACGATATCATTCGATGCAAGAATCGTTGGGTGAAGAAATAAGAAGACTGGAAATCAGCCGGAGATCAAGTCGAATACGAATTACACTCGTCATCCCCGGATTATCAAAATTAATCCTTTCCGATCGAATGTCGCCGTAATGTGGACTTCGTGCTTTCGAGTTTAAAATCGAAAGCTGCAAATGAATAATATAATTATTCAAATAACGTTTTCTTCCTTTCTAGTATTTAACCTGTTAACCGTGGAATTTAACTTGAAGAATCTCTCGTTTTGCGCGCAATAAAATCGAAACATTAAGTGTGTACTTCTCAGACGCAGGACGAATGCACCTAAGGTGTATTTTAACGAAAAACCAAAGCGAAACAAGGAAGAATTACACGTTTATCTGAAAAAATAAAGAATTCATCGTTGAACGAATTAGTACCTTTTCAAGCTTTAAGGTGACGAGTGTGTGAAACGCAGTTAACCGATTAACCCCTTGCCGTATGATTTACCTTTCAGCTATGATCGATAGCACTACTCTGGAATTAATAATTTATTGAATAGACGCTAATTTTGCATGTTACATGCTTGTTCCAATGTATAATCATTGATAAGAGAAGAATAATATTTATTCCTATTAGATCCTCTTCAGAATCTTCACAAGTCCGACACGTTGTTACAAGGCAAAGGATTGATACTTCGACGTACAACTTAGCTCTAAGCGTAAAGTGTTCTTAGAAATTCAAGAAACTCTCGTTGACGCACAGCGTCGATCCTTCGGAAATGTGTCGGCAGCTTGACGAAAGGGGTACACCGAAGGACGAATCGCAGCCACCCAAGTGGCTCTCACCGCGGCCGTTTCTTGGAAAATCGGGGGCAGGATTCTTCAATAATCCGTCTGAACCGTTTTAACTTTTATTACGTTTAAGTATAGCAAGTGACGAGAGAACCAGTTTCGAAGGAAAAAAGGGTGATCGGCAGTTCATGCGAGCCGTGAAATGTACAGTAACCTCGAGACAGCAGAAGCCAGCCTTCGACTATATGCAACTTAAGTTACCTTCTTGGAAGACTTCGAAAGGCCGACACGTATTGCCAGTCTTTTCGCAGTAAAGGCTTCCCCCGTTTCCAACGTGCGTGTTCGCATACAGTATGTAAGAGAAATAAGTGAACAGCCGGGCGGCCGATAAAAAAGTTACTGTACCGAGATAAATGTTTCATTTTATACGACGAAATCAACGTTCGAAGGCTGCCGGAGCAGACATCAAGGGTTAACTTAGGAAGATAAATTACTAGACGTTCATTTGTCATTTAATCATCGATGAGTTTCTTTATTCGCGTGACATAAAAGCCTGAAACGAATTCTGATTCACATTGAAGAATCTCGCGAGCAGTTACGATTTAATACTTTGCAACTTGTTTCAATATTTTCCCATGTATAGTGACGAGAGATTTCATTGGTAGAAGAAAACTTCATTTCTTTTTGGATAATAATATTAATTTGTTAAATGAGAAAAGGATCGTTTCACGTGGAAGAAACGTTCTTTTTAGTTCTAAAGGAGTTTTACCTTTTGAACTCGTTTTCTTTCGGTATGCTTGTCTACTTAGTAGAAAGGTTGAATATGGGACGTTTGGTTGAACCCCATTGTATATAAAAAATGGTAATGTTCACTTACTTTTGTTACATACTGTATATGTGATTACAAAAGAAAGGATAGTTATCATGCGAGAAATGTACCAAGTTTTGTTTTATTGATTAAGCTGCCTTGCACGCGAATAAATCTTCTAATCAAGGACAAACAATCCCCGATAGGTGACCTAGTGGAAATTGCCGAAGTAACCTACTTTGGGTGCAAAAATTGTTTCACGGTGAGAATGTGAACTTCGGAGAATATAAATAGAAAGGAAAAACTAGTTCTTCTTTTATCTGCAGTATAGAAATTTGTCGTTTAAGGAAAAATCTGCGAGATAATTTTTCGGTATACCTAGAGAAACCTAAAACGTTTTAAATATATATTTAATATCCTGCGTTGCCTAGCTGAAAATTGAATTTCCTTTTTTTTCTTTTCAATTATATAATGATACTTTTAAGCTCTGAGCATTTGTTTTTAGCAAAAGAACATTTAGATAGTGCAATGTTTCGAAGTTGCTTCGAATTTGCATAGATTGTGATAAGTGAAACCTGCCGACAAAAGTGTAAAATTCGAAAAAAATTGATTTTCGATCAAAGATTAATATTAAATAGACAGTAAGTCAACGTACCATAATTGTTGATTTGCGTATTCTTCATATCACTGCCTGGTCGTGCAGCTATTTCGTTTCTTTGCGATAGGTTCACGTTTTATTTTCGTTAATGTGTTATCTGTAACATACGAACGATGGAAAATCTGTGAATTGTCTGGTTGGTTAATGAATTAAATTTATTTAATGAGTTAACAGTTGTATCAACTTAAATCAGCACTGACAAATGTTTGAGGTTTCGTTTACCTCGAATTTACATTTACATTCTTCAATAAAATAAGTATATTTTTAAATTATCAGTTCCTATCCATTGAAGCTAGAAGCACCTTGTTTCACTCATTCGAAAAATACATGACTTGCAAACACTTTTTCAATAAAATAAGTATATTTTAAAATTATCAGTTCCTATCCATTGAAGCTAGAAGCACCTTGTTTCACTCGTTCGAAAAATGTATGACTTGCAAACACTTTTTCAATAAAATAAGTATATTTTAAAATTATCAATTCCTATTCATTGAAACTAGAAGCACCTTGTTTGTGCTAGAAGCACAAATTTTTTTATAATTATTCGTATTGTATTCATTCTATTTAATAAACACCTACAGATTAATATACTTCACGTTTACAATCAATTCATAATTATCATCAACTTTATTGTTATGTCTGAACACTAAAATAAATAAGCGATTCCATAGTGCATATATGAAATGATAGTTCATAACAATAAATGGTCGTGTGTAGCATGTTATTAAATTATTCTTTTCAAATGGCATCGTGTTACAAAAAATATATAAAACATGATTCTATGTGTATATTCTATTCGCATGTTCTATTTAGGAAAACGAGTTTGACTTTCAATTTCCTCCATAATCCCACATGCTAAACAGAATTTCCATTACAGAGTATGCTCCTTCATATCACATAATATATGTAAAACATTTTTTTTACTTAGTTCAGTCCCCCATAAAATTCCTACTAGAATTTTCCAAGGTAAAGGGAACATCCTATACTATATATTATATATTATTATATATTACAATAATACTTGAAATATTATATTCAAATACTTGCGTTATTTTCATTCATAACAGTATTTGTTAACACGATGTTAACGTTTTCGTCGACGTTCAAACAAAGCATGTACTGTTCGCAGTATCAATATCTCAAGGAATCCAAACGGAAATTGTTTCCAATAGCTATAGCATACTTATCGTCGAAATGAATCTTTTCAAAGTATTATTTATGACCTATTAATCGTTCTCGTTCTGAATACGGAAAACGAAATGTAAATTGGCAATTAAAGCATGGAAATTAACAGACTATCCTTTAGAATTTTTATACGTACGCCTATTGCAGAAACTGGAATTCCTGCTATGGCATCTGTATCGGAAGAAAACATTCAGATACAATCTTTCCATCTGCAAGGATGAATTGAAAACATTAATTGAAACAGCAATAATGCTGTTCATTAAAACAAGTATACCATTGACTATCAAGATAATATTTACTATTCGAATTATCCTGTATCGATTAAAATTTTCTTTCCTTGAAAGAGTAAATATTTCTGCGTTTAAGCACTATTATTGAACGTTAATTGAAAAGTTAATTGTTGCAGACGTTCAAATCGTCTTTTACCAATGTTTTTAAATAACGCTTCGATCGTGATAAATGACAACTTTTATGAAATATTCAAATTAGCCTGATCGTACGCGGTGTTTTTGAGACCTGCATAAAATTAAATTTTTTCAAACGATACTTCGTTTCCGATAAGATTGTACTATTAGAAATTTAAATTCGCTGTACATTTCGGAAATTTGTAGACCTGCCTTTAAACAAGAATTGGCTGGCGTGTCTGTTCATAGCATTCCGTTTCTACTGCTTAGAAATTCTAATGCGCGAGCGTTACTCTGTATCTGCGGCTTTTTCCCCTATAATAATAATCCTGATTAAAATTCCGACTTGCTATGCAAAATTCTATTATATTGTATTATATTCGTCAACGTAACTCAGCCTCGAGATCGTAGTATTCTTTTTAGATTTTATCAGTAATTGTATGCAATATAAGTGAGCTTAGTATGCATGAATTCACATTATGAAGCAGTGTTTCTTACGAAGGAAAAAACACCGTATATCTTTCTATATAGGAACAAAAAAAAACTCGTTTTAACACGTTGAACGCCGCACGTTTTCATAGAGCAAAATACACAAAATGGAAAAAATACAATATTAAATGATTTGGCTGAATTGGATTATTATCACTGCACGTTCATCTGAATCTCACCGCAATGGATAGCATTATTTATAATATAGAAATGTTTGCGAATAATCATCGTCTAATTGAGTGAATTATAGTAATTCGATTTGCTTGGGTCACCGGTGACCCCCATGGCATTCAACGTGTTAATATTCTTAAAAAATAGAAATTGATAATAATGTATACCTTATCTATCGATTATACTACTGTATATCTCTGAAAATACTATTTTTCGTATGACCCATTTCTTTTCACGATGAATAATTTTTAAGTTTGAATGCGTCATGTTACGAGACTTAACCTGTATACGAAACAGTACGTAAACATTTTCATCCAGTCACTCTATTTAGACGCATAAATACATATATTCAATTTTTTCATGCAAAAAAAGAATATTTCAGCATTTATTTTCATAAGAATTGTCCTCTAAATAAACGTCAGTATTCCGTTGTAACGTAGAAATAAAATTCAGAACGATTCTATAATAATGAAGCAATATACAATGAAACCTCAGTTATCCAAACTCAATTATTCGAACCAGTGATGCGACGTTTTTCATTTATTTTGTTGAAATGAAAAAATACAGGATTCTCCAGAAAATAATATTGCATTTATTGCAATTAATATTTTGACTGCCACGGCGGTCACCGATGACCGCTTTCAAATTACAAGAAAATAATGACTTGGAAGACAATTGATTTAGAATACAAATTTTCCGTAATGCAAATAACTATAATAGATAATAAGGTAATACAAGAATTTTCATATCAAAAAATTAATAATTCATAGAAAGGATAAGTGATGCATAAAACGCTGATGATGTTTGTGGCAGTCAACGTGTTAAACATTTATCCACTCACCTTCAAAAGATTGAGTTCAATGGAATCTTTGCGATGAGTCCTGTCACGGAAACTGTGTTAACAGATGTAGAGTTAAAAGGTAGAATATTTGTGACACATGTGTCCACAATGGATTTTATTATCCTTAAATTGTACAATTTTGGATCAAGCGAAAAATTGAATTTCTTCTTAAATTCCCGAGCAATCAGCGAAACACTAATAGTCAAAACTCATCGACATCTTTTTCATAAATTTGTTCATACACATTCAGCTGCAATATCAATAACAACAATTTTCAAAATTGAAATTATTCGCTTTATAAGCAAACAGTTGGAAGCTGAGAATTTTCCCAACCACCTCGAAATATAGGATTGGATATTTTCCATTTCTCAATTTTAAAAAACGTTTACTGATATCGAAGCTGAATGTGTATTAATACCAAATTTATGAAGAAAAAAGGTCGCTTTCAAGTTGAGAATTACTGTTTAAATTTAAACTGATCCGATTCGCCTCGGTCTACCCTACTGACCAATTATCGGAACCACCATGGATCCAATTAGACCGGATAATCAAGGTTCGACCGTGTTACCGAAGGATGCCCGCGACAAGCGATTACACACTCGTTTGGCCGCGCGACACGCGATTCGATCGCGCTCGCGATCTCGAAACCGACGAGGATCGCGGTTAGAGACAATGCATGTCGCGGTTGGAAGGACAGAATGTTGTTGACCCGTTCAACCGCGACAGAGGGAAAGGAAAAGCAAAAGGAAAAGAAGCGCGACGCGACGCGACGCGGCGCGCACGGGAGCAAAGAAAATCCCCGGAGCGCACCTTGTACGCGCGACGCCAACCGTTTCGAGATCTCGGAGCCCCCGATCGCCGGTTATTACCGCTTGATTACTGTTATAATCGTGAAAGTACGATGCTAATTACGATTAGGCCGAGCCGCGCTGGAATTCCCAGCCGGCGTCAGCGTTCTACCCCGGCCGACAATTTCTGCGTTTTTATAGACGCGTTAATGATCCCCGGTTACAAAACGGGAGTGCAACCCGCTCCCGCGGGCGCGAGACAAACTTTATGCGTTTATGAGCTGGCTAATAATGGCCGTTTTAAGAAACGGACGATCGCTCCAACCCCTTTTTGCTCCGGACGTGATTCAACCTGTTGGAAGAAGAATTTATTGATCCTTTGAGGGCAATTGTTTTTAACGTTTAAAGATCCTCTTCGGAAAGATACTAGAGAAGGGAAAGTCGCACGTCGATCTCTATTATATTTTTATAATTATTCATTTGCAGTTTCCGGTGTTAACCCTTTGCACACCGGAGGCGCCTCTCAGTCGGTAATTGATTTGATATAGCGAAATTGTGAAGTTTGATATTTAATATTAAACTTTGTGTAATGCATCGATATGTGAAATATTGAAAGAAAATAGTCTTCGTCAATGTATGTGTGATTTCTCAAGTCAGTTTCGAAAAATGTCGGCGTCGCGCTAAAAAGGATTGAACATTTTCGCGGCGTTCGACTGCGAATAGTTACGAAAGTGGAAGTATGATTTTCTCATTTTTTATTTTTGTCTTTTAACCAATTAACTGCGTTGGAACTGATACTAATTTTTTCAACGATGAATTCTTTATTTCTTCAGATGAATATGTTGTTAGTCTTTCTTTTCGCTTTAGTTTTGCATTAAAATATACCCTAGGTGCATTCGTCCTGCGTTTGACGAGTGCACACTTCGTTTTCTGATTTTATTGCGTGCAAAGCGAGAGATTTTGAAACTAAATTCCACAGTTAACGGGTTAAACGAAATAGGCAGTAGTGAAGTAGTTTTGATAGAGTATTTCTTAACACGTTGAATGCGCACAATTTCATAGAGCAAACTACACAAAACAGAGAAAGTATAATATTAAACCATTCGATTGAATTGTATTATTATTATTACGCGTTCATCTAGCCGAATGTCACCGCATTAGGTAACAATATTTATAATGTACAAATGTTTTCAAACAATCGTCGTTTAATTGAGTGAACTACAGTAATTCGATTTGTTTGGGGGTGACCCTCATGGCATTCAACGTGTTAATGAATGTTTATTCGAAGTAATACTCGTTTCCTTGAATTTATTTCTCAGTTAAGTAAAAATCGACATATAACGTTGAGTAAGTGTACAATTTTGTAACGAACTGTTATCAAACCGTCATTCTATAACATCGTGTTAGAAGATTCACGATGAAAATTTTCAGTTGAATTCGACGAAGCTAAATGTTACTTACTTTCTCTGAATATAAATTAAATCCTATTTTTCTATTATCGATCGTTAACCTCTGGAGTAAAAGTAGAGATAGAATAAGTATGAAATTCATTCCTTACTCTAACAAATTATTAACGATAAAGTAACTCCGCCGAGCATACTCGCGCAAGAAATCGTAGAACAAGGGGTTAACTTCCTGCAGTTACTTTCAAACTCGAAAGTGGTACAACATTTCCGCAGATTAAGAGGAACACTATCCTTTTAGTATGCGCCGATAAAAGGAAATCAGCCAAAAGGAAACTCCTGTCTTCATTTAACACCATGATTAACGTAACCAATGATTACGGAGAGGAAGAAAAACGTGCAAAAGAAAGAGCGTAATATACAGTTTGAATCCTATATCAACGCAGATATAATTATTTTACGATACTAGTTAATAGAACTCGAGGAATTCAAAATCAGTAAAGGATGTTGATCATAATTAACATTAAAACTCCGGAGCAATAAAATTGATTTTTTGGAGTTCCTTTACAGAAACTCGAAGACTGCATCTATTGAGACTTTCATTGATTTACAATTCAGTTTATGTATCGCGAGAACAATTTCTTTAATAATTTCTGAGAGAAACATCTGTTATCTTTCTTATAATTGCAAAATGAAATCGGGAATGTGTCATTTTGATCCGTCTGGTAATTGTCGTGTTAAATTCGTGACGAACCATTCAACTATTTTCAAGATGACAATTAGTAAAAATTCGACCTTCTGAGTTTCCTTCTTTTTCCCATTGTTCCCCAACTGAGAAAATGTTACAAACATTGAAAGATTTTAACTGTCAGAGAATTTTTTCGCATCTTTTGTTTGAAAATACTAGAGATAAGAAGAGCCAAAAATGCTCAAAAGTTCGAAGAAATGAAGATTTTTTATTGATATTTATCAGTGACATTTTATATATTTTTACAGGGACCACATATCGTTGTAACTATTGCCTCCTAAAACCTGTTAAGAAAATTACAAACCGAATTTTCCAATGTATAACGCTATCGCTACTCCATCCCTGACGTAATTTAAAAGGCACCTTTGATCTCTTTATCTAGCTACACTCATTATCTCACTTTCACGTCACCGATAGAGTTTAATGATTTGCCAGCCATTTTGATAAAGAAACAGCTCTAAAATTTTCTTATTAAAACGACAGCGCTTACTTAAGGGAAAGAGTACGCCAAAGTGTAACGTAACCGTAGATAACAGAATAAGAGAAACAAATAAATGTGCGTCGATCACTTTATCTTCCCCGGAACAACAACGCGAAATATTTCATTGATTCACGGTGATCCGTGAAGAATAAACTCGTTATTTCATGCGAACGCGAAGGAAAAAGAATGCGTATCGAGAGAATAAATCGCGTTGCGAACGAACTTTACTGCCAAAGTGATTTCGTTTTTAATGACGTTTTGTTTATCGTCAAGTTTATTTTCACATTAAACCGAATGACGCTGTAACTTCGTTATGCTTCTTATCTGCTGCTAATATTTCTAATCTAAGGAACGGCGTAATAGAGTTTTTATTTCCGTACGTGCCGACGCGTACTGTTAACATATCTGAACGGTGCTCTTAATATGCTAGCTCCATCAAGATAGCATGGGAACGTTAACAAGCATCATCAGCAGCATAATCGAAGTGTTCTGTCAACAAAAGTCGTTTTGACATCTTAAGGACGTTCGATGATAATCTCTCGCTCAATTAAGATCGTATCAGTTATCACTTGAACGCAAGGAACTTTTATATGGCAGAAACAAATAATCTTGAGAACAAAGTAACTCATTAGTAAGTAGTTACAGAAAGACAACTTAATCGATCACTCCAGTTTAGTAACATCTGAATATTACGACTTAGTACATTTTAAGTTTAAGTAACATTGAAATATCTATTTCTACAAAAACACAGAGAGCAAATTTTTTGTTTTTTTCCGACTTCGTGTAAACCATCGCGTATGCAACGATATATCATCGTTGACGCTAAAAAGGTTCTATATTCGTACGACGTAGAAAGCAACACAAGATTTTGAATAAAATTTTAGAATAAAATTTATATCTGCATATAAACGTTCACGAACAGAATGGAACTCCGCACGCGCAAGATAAAATAACGTCGATTTTTCCATTTTACAAATTACCGTCTGAAACATGAAATCTGCATACAGATTCGCAGACACAAATGCAAAGCCGCTAATCGGCGTTCAACCGAAGCGTGACGTTTCATACAACACTGTACATTACTTTTACTGCCCCGCATTACCATAAACGTAATCCATCGTCTGTTGGCAGTGTAGCATCGCGATATTTCCTCGAGTTTGCTCTAGATACGACGGGCATCCGAAATACACACAAAGATCAGCCATTTTCTCTTGAATAATCATAAGCTCCACGTGTTGGCTGTCCCGCCGATCGTTCCACTAAAACACGCCCGCCGGCTAGGTCTATTTAAAGCCACAAAAGAACGACATTCATAATGAGATCGCCCGATACAGATTTTATCGCGAGAAGCTAATTTACGACTTGACGAAAAAAGGAAGGA